ACAGTCATCAATGTAACGGAGGAAGAGGTGGGGTTTAGGGCCGGTGTAGGTACGGAAGAGGGATTGTTCCACGTAACCATTATGTTAAGTTTTGATATCTACGCAGTATGGACGCAGTAAGGAATAAGAGAATAGGGGAGGTGTGAGCAATTGCTGTTGATGTCAAGGGAAAATTTGACGAACGTGGCATTAAAGAGCCTGAGTGGGAGTCAGTGGGAACACTCTGTGCTGCTTGGAGTCATTCCTGGCACAAAGGAAAATCGTTGTGGTTGTTGGTCAGTCATCTCAGCTCCAGGACTTTTCTACAGTAGTTTCTCGAGGTAGATATTTCCTAATTAACCCTGTTCAGCAACAACATTATGCACGATGGGACTTGAACCAAGACCTCCTGATGCTGAGGTGGGGGCAGTACCACTGCATCACAACAGTCCAAGTTTCTCGGGATAGATAATTTCTAATCAACATGTTCAGAGACGGTATACATACGTCTGGAGTAGGTGGGACTTGAACCTAGGCCTCCAGCTTTCTGTAGTTCTGTAGCTGACATGCATCTTTCACACCAGGCACATCTCCAAATCCATGGTGGAGGAGGGTCTGATCAGTGAAAGGGACCTCCAGACTGAACAATGGCTGGATACAGAGTGCCCCGAGGCAAAACGACTTAAGGTAAGGAGTGTCTACACTTTGTGAGTTGGCAATCGTAGGAACTTTGTCCACTCCTGCAAGGCAACACAGATCTATACAGGATGTTATCAATGGGATAGTGAATGGCATGACTAGTTTGCTGAATTTGACCATCCAGTTTTCAGCTCTGGGACTTGCGTTCTTTTCCAGCTTAGACTGGTGGGACTATATGTATGTGTGTGGGTCGTGGGTGTCGCTGGCTGGGTCAGCATGCATCACCAATCCCAAGTTGCCTTTGAGAAGGTGGTGGTGAGCTGCCTTCGTGAAACATTGCAGACCATGTGCTGTAGGTTGACCCACAATGCCCTTAGGGAGGGAATTCCAGAAGTTGGACCCAATGACACTGAAGGAATGGTGATGTGTTTCCAAGTCAGGATGGTGAGTGATTTGGAGGGGAACTTGCAGGTTGTGGTGTTCCCATGTATCTGCTGCTATTGTCCTGACTCACTATTGTCTCTAACCTGCTATTGTAGTCACAGTATTTATATAGCTCGTCCAATTTCTGGTCAATGGTGGTAATGCTATTGAATGTCAAGGGACAATGGTTAGATTCTCTTTTATTGGAAATTATCATTACCCAGCACTGTGTGCCACTGATGTTTCTTGCCATTTGTCAGCCCAAACCTGGATATGTCCAGGTCTTACTACATTTGGACATGGACTGCTTTATTTAGCACGTCACTCCTTGACTCTGTGTGTGTGTGTGTGTGTATCTCTCTCTTTCAGTCTGCATCTGTCCCTCTGTATCTTTGCTGGTTCTAATCCTACTACTTAAAATGTGATTCAGTTCATTGCTATGGAAATTGGCACAGAATCTGGGACTCCTGTTCAGAAAGGACATTTAGAGTGGAAAAAGGGCAACTGTGTTGGTCAAAGTAGAGAGAACTTTGCAGGTTCCTACAGCTGCTATACCTCCAGACCTCTCTACTCAGTAAACACCAGTACAACTTCCTGGAATCCCTACAGTATGGAAGCAGGCCATTCAGCCCATCACACCAACCCTCCAAACAGCATCCCACCCAGACTCACCCCATTATCGTATCCCTGTAACCCTGCATTTCTCATGGCTAATCCACCTAACTTGCACATCTTTGGACCATGGGAGGAACTGGAGCACCCAGAGGAAACCCACACAGACACAGAGAGAACTTGCAAATTCCACACAGTCCAAGTATGGAATCAAACCCGATTCCTGGCACTGCAAGGCAGCAGTGCTAACCACTGAGCCACTACGTTGCCGTAGTTATTGCATAGACCCGAAACATACGGCAGATACATTATATATAGGAATCTTATTTAACTGGCCTAGGAGGCTTCTTGTGTCACAGTGAAGTATTCCTACCTCTAGGCCAAAAGACCTGGGTTCCTGGGTTTGAGTCCCACATACTCCACATGTGTTTTATAACATACCTGAATAGGGCAATTTAAAACATCTAACTGTCTTAGGAATGACTGGCACTTCTAATAAATATAGCTTGGAAATCTCTCAGCTGCTGTCTTTATGCCTGTACATCTGCTGTAATCTCAGAAATATTTCTGTGTCTCAGTCTGCCACAATTGTTACAGCCATATTGACATTTGAACCCTGACACATTATTTTTCATTTTTTCACCCATTATTCCTTCATCATAATCCTATCTTTCTGAGTTGTCCCATTTTTAGACTCATTCATTGTGCTGTTGCATGATCTATGACAATGTTCTTGGGAGACATTAGAGAATGGACTGACACTACTCCTCGATTTCTATGTTATCCCGAGTGAGAGCTGGACCCTTTCTATCTATGTATTTTCTTGTTTGGTAACAGAGCCTAGACTAAGATGTCACAGTGTCATCTGAGGTAAGGGGCTGGGGTCACTAGTCCATTTAAAACTAAAATTTCAAAGCACTTTCTCACAGAAATGATATTTAGAATTCTTCCTCGAAAAAGTCTGAGTGTTCAGACAATTGAAATTTTCAAGGCTTCTTGGTATATTTTTGTCGGGTAAGGTTATCCAAGGGTTCGAGTTCAAAAATAATTAACTGGATGTGGGGTACAAACAAGCCCTGAACTGAATGAATGGCAGAGCATACTCATTGGGCTTAATGGCCTATTGCTGTTTGCTATGACAGTAGAGCTCTAGAAAATGGGGAAGACTATCAAATATCATACTTTTTAAAAAATTCATTCACAGGATATGGCATTGCCGGACATTCCCAGCATTTATTACTCCATCCCTACTTGTCCAGAGTCAACCACATTGCTGTAGACTGGAGTCACATGTAGGTCAGTCCAGGTAAAGACAGTAGTTTCCTTCCCTAAAGGACTTTGGTGATCCAGCTGGGTTTTTGACAGTCAACAACAGTTTTATAGTCATCATTAGGCTCTTAATTATAGATTTATTTTATTGAATTTGAATTCCACTGTGTCAAGATTCAAACTTGAGCCTCCAGAACATTAATGGGATTAATAGTCCAGCGATAATATCACTAGGCCATTCCCTCCATTCAGCCTGAATCTCTCCTGTATTTTTACATATAGTGCTTCACCTTTCCTCAATGTTTTTGGCAGTGCCCAGAGGCAGGGTATTTGCTCAGTGCGAACAAAGGTACAGTATTTGAAGCTTTCTCTTTGGGTTAAAGATAGCTGTCAGTGTTACATTCAACTTGAGTCCAAGAATGGACCTCCTGTACACCTCTATTAACCTGCAACTCTGACACATTCCTCAGGTGGAGGAGCCAACCTTACTGTCAGACAATGAAGATGCTGTTGATTGTCGGCAATGGACACAGCACCACCTAGCAGCAGCAGACATCCGAATGCCACCTTCCATGGCCCTAACCCCGCCTCAGGGAGAGTTTGATACTGATTGCATGGATGTGAATGTGCGCGGCCCAGGTACTTGTCCTGTAGAATCAAGAACAGCAGGTAGACTTATTCCACTAAAAGGAGCTTCCCAGTAATGTGCTGGTGAAATACATTGTATTTCATTCATCAAACAGAGCCAAGGCTTCTCATTTTCAATTTCAGCTTCACCTGCTTACATAGCAGCACTGGTCAAAGGCTTAGTTTTCTACCTGCGTCTATGGTTAGAAATGGCATATAACTCAGAGAGACTGATATGCAGCACACAGTGAGGGCTCTAGGGGTGGTCTAATGTGGAGCAGTGAGTTGCAGAAGAATATGGGGACCTCAGGGCCTACCGGTCATCTGGTGATGATGTAGGAGTAATAAAAGTGACATTTCTTCCTCTTCACCGAGTGCAAGACTAGATCAGTCAGGAATTAAAGTGTATGGCTTAATATCAATAAAGAACCTGTTTGCTCAAAGAGAAATTAGAATGTGGGAATTAATATGGAGTTATTGAGGTAAACAACATAGAAACCTCTAAGAGATGCTAATTATTCCCCGTGGCAGCATCTTGACCAATCAGCATTTTTCTCTCCTGTAGTATACATTGTTGCTTCCCTTTGAAATTGACATTCTTGCATCTGCCCTGATGAGTGCAAGATGTAAGGCTTTGACAGCAATTTTTCAGCAACCCCCAATGCCAGTTATATTTGAGGGAGAAAGGAAGGGAATGATATGTCAATAGGTTTTAGATGTTGGGTGGGAGAAGGCAATGTGGAAATAAAGTCAGCATGGACAAGTTGGGCCGAATGGCCTGTTTCTGTACTGTGTATTGCTGTGAAACCTGGAGTTATCTGGGACATCACATTTTATAGTAAATCTCAAACCTCTTCAAGAATAAAACGCTGAAATGGGGAAGCTGTTGAGTTGATAATTAATCCCTGTGTTTTAGATGGTTTCACCCCGCTGATGCTGGCCTCTTACTGTGGGGGAGGACTGGACACAGGCCTGACTGAGGAAGAAGAGCAGGAGGACTCATCTGCCAACATCATCTCGGACCTGATATACCAGGGGGCCAACCTCTGCGCACAGACAGACCGAACCGGAGAGACTGCCCTTCACCTGGCTGCCCGTTACGCAAGGGCAGATGCCGCCAAGCGACTCCTCGATGCTGGTGCCGATGCCAATGCTCAGGACAACACGGGGCGCACGCCTCTCCATGCTGCAGTCGCTGCTGATGCTCAAGGAGTCTTCCAGGTAAAGTACTTAGCAGCTTCTTTTACAGAATGTGGATTTCACTGGCTAAGCCAGCATTTTTTGCCCATCTGCAGTGCGCTGGAGAAGATGGTGGTGAGCTTCTTGCTGAACCACTGCTGTCCTTAGGGTATGGGGGAACTTCATGGTGTCTTTAGGAAGGGAGTTCCAAGATTTTGACCCAGCAAGAGCGAAGGAACGGCAAATGATTTCCAGTTGTGAGTGGCTTGGAAGGGAATTTACAGGGGTTGCAGCTCCTGTGCATCTGCTGCCTTGCTCTGCCGTGGGTTTGGAAATTGCTGTCGAAGAGCGCTTGCCAGTTGTTGCTGTGGTGCATCGTGTATGTGATACAAACATGTTCCACTGTGCATCAGTTGTGAATGAAGCAAATATTTAATGTGGTGTATTGGCTACTTCGATCTAAACCATTGTCCTTGCTGAAGTCAGCACTTGTGTCATTCACTCATGCATCTGAAAGCAACACGCTGGTGTTCATTATTACTCTGTGCTACTGACTCAGATGTTTTCCAATGCACCATCAGTAATTACTCCTGTCAGTACCACTGAGGATGTACAGCATGCTGTCAGTCATGCATTAATCACTTGCAGACAGCATGATATTCATAAAATAATGACAATGCAATCACATAAACAAGTTGCCCGGTGAATGATATACAGCTAAGAATCTTTTACTCAAAAAGCCCCTGATTAGCGTTACCCATAATTCCTTCCCACATATTATTCTGTAGTTAATCACAGGAACTTGAAAAGGCCACTCAGCCCCTAGACTCTTTTCCACAGCCTCACAATTATCCAATTAATCAAAACTTTCAGTATATTTCTAGCTGTAGTTTGCTCCTTGATTTCCACTCTTCTATGTAGTACATAGTCTGGGATGTTTGGGACAAATCCTCCCTGAATTTTTGAATTTTCTGGGTTATTTGAATACCTAACCACAAGTGTATGAACCAGAACACTGTAAATATAACCCGAAGCATAAAATAATGATAAAACATTACAAAGCACTAATAAAAGAAAGTTTTCCTTATCCAAATACTGTATCGCCCATGGTTTCTGATCCCAAAGAACTGCACTAAAATTATGCCATGTAGTGCATGTGTCTGTTCAAAACGTTTCTAGCTGACTGATGTTTCCAAAGAGTAGATTTACAAACTGGAGGGGCCACAGTGTGGTCATCTCAACAGGCTTTTCCAATTTGTATGCCATTCCTTTGGTATTTGTTGTTGTTCAAAACATGCAACAACTGAATCCCCCATTAAATTTCAGCTTGAAAACCACCCTTGTCTCCCCAGCTAATACGGTGAAACCATTTTGTGAGGAGCCATGTAAATGTGTCACTCGGACCCAAGGGGATTTCTGTTCAAATTTGTTGCTGCAATTACCGATTAGAAAGTTTGAATTTTGTGGCCATACCAAGGATGATCTCTGTCTTGTTCCCTCTCCATCAGATACTGATAAGAAATAGAGCCACAGACCTGGATGCGCGAATGGCTGATGGTTCCACTGCTCTTATTCTTGCTGCCCGTCTTGCAGTGGAAGGAATGGTCGAGGAACTAATAGCGTGTCATGCTGATGTCAATGCTGTCGATGAGATTGGTACGTTTGAGACCATCAGGGTTGTACACCAAGGCATCTACTTGAGCTATAATCCAAGACCACTGGGTGAAATATCCATCCATGTCGACAGTAACTTGTTATGTAGTGATACACTAAGTGGAACAGGAAGGTCCAGCACAGCTTTACAGGAGCAATCATCAGACAGAGTTTACCACTAAGCTTCATAAGGAGATATTAGGACCTGTACCCAAAGCTTGGTTCAGTAGTTGCATATGCCAAAGTGAGAGGCAGAGGGGTTTAAGGAGGGGAGTTCCAGGCCTTATGACCTGAAAGCACGGCCACCAGTAGTGGAGGGAGGCAAATCGAGAACATGCAAGGGGTCAAAGTTGGAGGAATACAGAGGTCTCTAAGGTTATAGGGCTTTGAAGATTACCAAAGTAAGGGAGAGCTTGATTGTGGAAGGGTTTGAAAATACATATGAGAATTTTAAAATTGAGGCTTTGCTGGACCGACAGCAGGGTAGTTCAGCAAACACTGGGGTGATGATGGGTTAATGGTGCTTGGAGTAAGTTAGCATATGAACAGCAGAGTTTTGAATGACCCCCTGGAGGGAAGTAGTTGGGAGACTGGCCAGGAGAGCATTCCACTCTCGTTGTTTCTGGTGTTGTCATGTGCCCTCCCACAAAGCTGGTTTCTTCTACTGGGGGATAAACCGTCTGACCTTCGCTTACATTCTTAACCGCAGCAAAGAGGTGAACCATTGTAAGTAACTGTTGTGTTTAATCTGGATATTTAGGTAAATCGGCCTTGCATTGGGCTGCAGCAGTGAACAATGTTGATGCTACTGTGGTCTTGCTGAAGAATGGCGCCAACAAGGATATGCAGGACAGTAAGGTAAGGAAAAGAATATGATCCTTCTCCACAATATCGGAGACACTCTGTCAGTTCTTCAATTCTGGCTCCATAAACAGATAGGTTGAAATCGAAAAGCCAAAACCGAATTCCAAATGCTTGCATTTCCTGCCAGACAGACAAAATGGGCATGTTATCCAGTCCCAGCCTCAACCAGTGCAACTATCTACCCAGCTGCCTGAGCCATTGGCCCATTGGTGACCCGGAGATATTTATTTCTTTCTATTAAATGCCCAGACTTTGATTCTTCCCCTTGATTATCAAGAAGCTCATGTGGAAATTGTGAGTGCTTAACTCAACTGGCTACTCTTCAAGTTTGTCTGTGAGATGTGAGTGAAGCTAGTTGAGCATTTATTTACCGTCCCTGTGATGGATCTTCTCAAGTGACCAACTAACTCAGTCACAGGGTATTAGTTTGCTTGACCACCCCCTGAGAGACTTGGGGATGGCAGAATCCCTTCATGTCCGTCAACAACATTAACAAACCGGTCAGGTCTCTTCACTCTTTCGCTATCAGTCAACAGTGCGATTTTGTTTTGAATCCTCAAACCAGGCAGCTAATAACCAGCTTTCCCCAAAATTGGTTTCATCATTTTCCATGGTTAGATGACGAACTCACAACCTGTGGGTTTCTAGATCAGCCCCATGATCACCTCATAACTATTTCTCATTGTTATAGAATAGAACTTTTTTTAATAGAATCCCTACAGTGTGGAAACAGACCCTTCGGCCTAACAAATCCACACCGAGCCATAGAGCATCCCACCCAGACTCATTTCCCTATAATCCACCTAATCTACACATCCCTGAACACTATGGGCAATTCAGCACAGCCAATCCACCTAGCATGCACATCTTCGGACTGTGGGATGAAACCGGAGCACCTGGAGGAAACCCACCCACGGGGAGAATGTGCAAACTGCACGCAGACAGTTGCCCGAGGGTGGAATCGAACCTGGGTCCCTGGCGCTGTGAGGCAGCATGGCTAACCACTGAGCCACCTTGCTGCCCATTATATTGCACCTTAGGAGCATAGGGACAAGAGGAGGCCCTCCCAATAAACCTGCTCACGATTTTGTTGGATTCCAGCTAATTTGTATCTTAATCCAGTGTATCAGCTTTGATTCTGTATTCCTTAATACATTGCTTAACAAACATCTGCCAATTGTGATTATGGATATTTTAATAGCCTCACCAGGTTCTTAGAGGAATGACATCCTGATTTCTGTTATCTTTCACGTGAAAAAGAACTTCCTGACATGAGTCTCTTGTTCCGAAACCTCCTGACATCTATCTTATAAATTTCTTTAGTCATTTGAATACTCCTTACTGCTCTAGGGAATCTAGGCCTAGTGTATCTCTTCTGCCCACACCTTTGAACCTTTCAGCTCTGGCATCGTTCTAGCAATTGTTATTGGCAAGGTCCATTTGACTCTGGTTTGAAGTGATGAGATTCTTTGACATTTTTTCTTACGATAAGGTAACTGTATTTTCCAGGAGGAGACGCCACTCTTTCTAGCTGCCCGGGAGGGAAGCTTTGAAGCTGCCAAGATGTTGTTGGATCACTTTGCCAACCGGGACATTACAGACCACATGGACCGCTTGCCACGGGACATTGCACAGGAGCGGATGCATCATGACATTGTGCAGCTGCTGGATGAGTACAACGCTGTACGGAGCCCTCAAGGGCAAGGTGGACACATGGGCAGCCATTCAATGTCCCCCCTCATGTGCCCACCAAACAGTTACATGACTAACTTAAAGCAAACTCCCCAGGGAAAGAAAGCAAGGAGGCCCAGCTCCAAGAATTCAGGCTCTGGGAATAATAGCAACTTGACCAAGGACTCAAAGGAACCGAAAACGAGGAACAAAAAATTGAGTCTGGATTGCCAAGCGTCCCTCATGGAAAGCTCGGTGACATTGTCTCCAGTAGACTCATTGGATTCGCCGCGTGCCTACATAACTAACCCTACGTCTCCAGTCATGACGTCCTCTGGGATCCTGCATCCTGCGGGATCCTTGTCTGTGCTCGCCAACCCCCCAGTGAATGGTATTCTGGAAGGTCCCTTCACTGTCTCCTTGGCCAGACTTGGTGATCTTGGAGATGCTGCTCAGAACACTGCCATTTTATCCAGGAACCACATGCAGCCTCGTCTGTCAATGTCACAAGTCACTGGCCAACCCAACTGCCTCCTTAATGCCAGTGGCCTTGGTGTTAATGTTGGCATGGTGAGCCCCATCACCACTGTACCCTTTGAATGGCAAACGAGGATTCCCAGCTCACAGTGCAACTCGGTAATCAGCGTTGTGCAGCAGACCGCTGGGTCACATGCCAACTTGCACCAGCCGAGTCAAGTCCTACAGCATGGCTTGGTGCTGCAGAGCCACATGTCCATGGGGAATGGACCTCAAATGATCAATCAGCAGAGTCCAGTCAAGCCCCAAAACCCAGTTGAGCAGCAGGCAATCTCTCAAGCCCCGCAAGTACAGCAGAGGTGCACTCCTTCCACCACCAGCCACTCCATTCAGCAGAGCTTGCTGAGAAGCGAGATGGCGCGATTGCCAGACCACTGCAACCAGTCGATTTCTCCTCAGGAAGCCCAGCCTCCGCAAGCCAACGTACCGCCATTTTACAAGCAGCACAGCAACGCTGCCACCGAGGACTACCTGACTCCCTCCTCCAAACACAGCTACACATCAGGCCATGACAACACGCCCAAGCATTACCTCCACCTGAAGAATGAGCACCCTTACCTGACACCATCCCCAGAGTCACCCGAACAGTGGTCCAGCCCATCTCCACATTCCATGTCTGATTGGTCAGACTCTACCCCCAGCCCGGCCATAATTGGACATCAAGCTCAAATGCAGCACATGACTGAACAAGCAACCAAAATGCAAGTTTTTGCGTAAAGTACATCATTTGTTCTTTTTAAAAAACAAGAGACGTCTCTATAGGATATTAGGACCTGGGCTATTATTATCTTTGTTACTGTTCCTCCTTTCATCATCTTAAAGTAACAGGAGCCAGCTCTGTCGTCATCTTGGCTGGATCTGCAATGGAGGTCACCTCTTGGTTTCGAATTTCAAAGGAAAGATTTTGTTTTTTCTTTTTTCAGAAAGAATGGTGAGAAGGAAGGTGTTCAATTTGATCCTGTCTCACGATGGTCACTGCCTTTACCATGTGTTTGTGAATCAGCAAGGGCTGCTTGGTAAACCATGGAGCCTGTTACGTTTTATATGTTCCAGCCCTCTTCAGATATATGTGTCACTGAGCATTAAAAGCCTTCTCTTCTTCCCCTCCAAAGTACTGGACTTCACCTGCCTCTTGCTGGTTTGACCAATGCTGGGGATTCTGGGTGAACCTTTGTACCTTCAGTTTTGCCAGATTTTTGGCTGGGAGTGCCACCACCAGCCAATGAGGATCCTGGGAAATTACCTCAGCAGAATTTGGACAGGAGGACACAGATGCTGCCTTTACTGAGTACGGTGTACTCCACACTACATTAACTTAGGCTGTTACAGTAAGTTCCATCTCTCTGGGACTCCAACATGGCCTGAAGGCTTTCATCTGCAATCAGTAACCATTCCAGAATAACTGGCACTAATTACACCTTCCCCCCCGCCCCCTCCAGCCCAAGGAGATAGTGTTTCAAGCAACACAAAAGTTATAAAAGACTTGTCCGAACCATTGAAGCCTCAAGTGTAGGGACATCCTATCATTTCATTATATATAAAGTGATTAATATGGGATTTTTAAATACAATTTCTTTCTCTCATGCTGTTTGTTTTAATCCTGAATAAGCTTTTCTAAAACTTACTGCCACTGGAAATTGCGATGCTGCCAAGAATATCATTATATGTTATTTAACTGTTTCAAGGTTCAAAGGAACACTGTTGTTTGTTTTTGTAATCGAGTTCTTCCGCTACAGGATGGAAGCCTGAGAGATGCTTCCGAGAATTCTTCACATGTCGTAGAAATGGCAGAGTGCATGTCAAGGCTCTGCTTCAAAACCTAACCCAATCTAAGCAGAGAGTAGCAGAACAAAGCTCACTCGATCAGCCAGTTTAAACTTGTCTAGGCTGACATCAAGACAGCTCCCTGATTACTTCACTTATTCCCCATGCCTCAAAATGTCAACCGGTTTACAGGTTCATGCATGCCTTGATGCAGAGCTCCTGCATCATGTTACTCTTAATTTATATTGTAATTTCTTTTCTTTTTTTTTAAAGAAAATGAGAAATGTCAAAATGTCTATACTTTTTAATTGGATATAATTTGTTGAAAGGTCATGTTGATAATTGCTCTATAAGAGAAATTGACTGATTAGTACCAATTAGTAATTATGAAGCCTGTTTAAAAATTAGCTCAATAACTAGGCATTAAGCAGATACTCAGTGAGAGTGAATCAATTGTGTCTTTGAAGATTTAAGATTTGGCTGAAGTTTACTGATCAGAGAAAATTGTTCTGGGCACTTGTTCATTCAGGACCAGAGCCCTACAGTCACAGGTAGAGCCTTGGAAATGGGCTATACCGAACTTTTCTCAGGCAGGAACTTGAGTTCCAACTATAGCCAAATCAGTTTAGATTTCTGAAGTCTTTGTAAGTCAGTCCACTTGAGCCCAGTGGCTGATATTACAACAGCTAACACCTAAATCTAAAATAAAAGCACAAAGTGCAGGCATAATTCAGCTAGTCTGGAAGCATCAGTGGAGACCAAAACAAAGTTAGCATTTCCAGTCTGGTAATCTGCCTGTGTTTTTTTAAAGTCCTATTTTAATAACTTGCTACAGTTAGCAACAGGATTACAGACACCTCATCTTTTTTGAAGTGGAGGATCACTCCTGAACCTGATGATGCCCAGCATTGAAAACCAGTGTTCAGTTTCACTGCCAGTTTTGTAGTCCTTCCCTCACGCCAATCACATCGAGGGCCATTTTCACCAAGAGACAACATGGTGCCAATGATATCATGTGCCACAGAGCTCTCAGAAGTAACCTTAGGTAAAGAGAAGTGGCTACAATTGTTCAAAACAATAGACGTTGCAGTTTCCCTATTTCCAGGTACAAGTGCCCTTCAGATAGCAATTGTCAATGGAGTATGGGTCAAAAGAGATTGCATAGTTTCTGACTGAGAAGAGTATTGTAGGACCAGCCATTTCAAGATGTTAACAGAATGTGGACATAATTACTGAAGAGGTTTTAATTTTTGAGTATTTTTATTTTCTCTTCATCTTCCCCCACCCCATGCTATCTCTGCACTATGTCCAATGACCTAAAGGAATAACACCTCAGATATTGGTCAGATGAGATGCGTTTCACAGCACGTTCAAAGGTTCCCAATTCTGGTTGGAGGTATTCCTGGAGGTGCCACCTCATGTGACCTCCCAAAGCGCCCCACCCACTCTCCTGCCATTGATCACAGCACATTCCTACTCTCAGGGTGCATCACTTTTGACACCCATCGGGAAACTCTTTCTGCTCACTGATTATTTAACTGTTTGTTAGCCAATCCCTTGCTTATTTCTTGAGACATTTACAGGTAAAAACAAAGTTGAAAATATGAGAGAAAAATGTCTTTTGTTTTCTTTTTCATAACGCTCATTGGGATTTTCTCTGCTTTGCTCACCAAGTATCCTGGAGTTAGCCTTTAATATCTGGCTATTCCAGGATGGTCCTCAATAGCTGACAATTCTAAGTTTGCACTGCTCACTCGCCTTGTATTTACTGCAAGAAGATATTGAAAAAATGTCACAAACTGCAACAATGCAGCATCAAACCCTGAGATTAAATGATCTCAAGTTCCTGGGACCAGCAAAGACTCAAGAGGACCCTTAGCAACTGAAGAGGATTTGTTTCTCTGTGTTGCTCATCTTCCTCTCCAGGTGTGCAGCTATGTTTGGTTTTTCCAGCGCTGATTTAGTTAGAAAAGGGAAACTTGAAGAAGACACGAGTTCAGTGGTTCAATTGCGTCACATTAGAACACCTATACATTTAATGGACTTGCCACTATTTCTAAATACAATGCAGGAATGAAAATAACTGGACCTCTTCAGTTAGACCAATGCAAAATACAAATGATGACAGAGTTTATCGTCTATTTGGTAAGAAGATCAGGCTTATTCTAATTTACATGTCGCATGCTTGTTGGGTAAGCAAGGATAAAATCTTCCACTGCCTCACATTCCCTTCCTTAGATCAGGGAGCAATATTTGTAACCTGCTCTCTCCATCTGTTTTAAGAACAAAAGGATCTTCACTAGATCCAATAGCCATTCTTTAGCAGCCTGAACCTCAAGGTGTGGAGTCAGAAAGCCAGTCTTGAAATGAATGGATCAAAAATCAAAATTTTTATTCAAGTACTTGAGAGGTGCATTGAGCATTGCACTTGTCCCTTTAGAAGAATTTGACTTCTGGGGAGTGCGAGGCAGTCAATGCCTTTGGTTGGTAGGTGGAAATCTTCCCTCTCCTCTCCCAAGCCTGTTTCACATCTTATGATTCATGGGTCAGCCTTACCCATCTTCAAACCTGCCCCCTGTCTGAGATGAATGGTATTTATGTACAAATATTGGAGGTGGGGAAGAAGCAGTTACTCACATTTTGCTTGGCCCCTGAAGGAGAATGCAGACTTGTCATTATGGTCAGCTCTGTTGTTATCAAGATTCATTGCAAGCCTTAATCACTTCATCACACACTGAGGAGAGGCCAGAATTGGACCTTGTATATTTTTTAAGAAAAATGTCTGATTTTTATTTTATAAATCACCCTGTAGCCCATTCCCAAAGCCCCAGACAGTTGGTTATCGGGGCTTGTGGGTTCAGGAGAGAAGAGGTAGGTGTTAAACCTAGAGAAGGAATTAAGTTTCACGTGGCAAGTTGGGAAAAGGTGGAGTGGAGGGGTGAGGGTGGGAGGGAGGCGGGGGGTGGGATAGTGGGTCAGGTGATAGGCCGAGTGGGAGGGTGGGCGGGCAGGCAGGAAAAGTGGGGTTACAAGTGACGAGTCTGGGTGGGGTAAGGGTAATGGGGTACAGATAGGGAGTCGTGGAGCAAAGGATGTGAGCATGAGTGGGACATAGGGTTCGGGTAAGTCCTGCATCCTCTGAGGATGTGACAGACGAGGTAATGCTGATTAAAAATCAAGCAAAGATGAAATAGAGGTCTCACACACTGCTTGCAAAAATGAGAGAGCACCCTGTTAGTTTGGCTTATTTCCCTGCCTTATTTGGGACTGAATTTATGAGGGACCTATATATATATTTTATATATTTTTTTCTCAACATTCTTGGTCAGTAGCGCAGCTCGAACAGTAGAATGTACATTTAAAGCATTAACGGTTTTTTTAAAAAAAAGCAAACTGTAAATAAATCAAATTGAAGAACAAAAAAGAGCATTTACTCATTTCAAAAATACTTGTTTGGAATGTTTCATGTACTCAAATAAAAAGCTCCATTTCTTATTTAGTTGTTTATCACAAGGAATTACAGCCAACATACTTGGTTGTTTGTTCTTAGAAGGACTCTTTGTAGACATTTTATAATATTTCAAGCCTTTTTACAAAATTGTAGCTTTAATCTGTACAGAAAAAGAAAAGTATTTTAAGTCACATCTTTTGTATGCAGAAAATAAAGGTTGTGAGGTAAATATACTTCAAAAATAAAGCTGTAGGAAACTACATATTGTGGCTGTCAATTATTTTCTTTACAATAAAACCACATGCTGAGTTGAAGGTTATTTCAGAATGTGGATACCATGTTTTAATGCAAGAAGTTGATTGTGAGTCTGACCAAATATCAATTTTTGCCCCGAAGTAATGAGGTCTGGTGAAGAATATTTTTGAGGTGGGTTTGCATTTGGCCCCACTTTATCTTTCTTCATTTGTTTTTCATTGTGAAGAAGATGAGCCTTACAAAATCTCTTTAAAGCTGGAAAGAGCAGAACAGAGCACATTCAACTTTCTTTCTTATCGTTTGCCACAGTGTATAGTTTATAGGAAAGCAAATGGTCAGGGAGATGATTCCGTGCTGATGCATTAATATGTCTGTACCAAATGTTGAGCATGTTTGTTCCTTTGCCAGTACAAAAATATCTATATAATATTGCCACAGTGCCATCCAGGAAGCATGTTTTCATTGGATCGGGCATTTTTTTATCCTCAAAAACTCAATTACCCTAGAACAGGATGGAAACAGAATCAAGCAAAAGATGGAAATGTCATTTGAAGAGGTCTTCTTGAAACCTGTCCAAGTGTCTCTTGCTTTGCAGGATGTATAGTACTAACACTTGTAAAATCACCAGACCACCAGTGATTTAATTAAATGTCATCCCTTGTCTTTCTTAGGACAAGCAGGGGGTAAATGGGTAACTTTGCAGATGAAAATTTCCTAATTCAAATGTTTGATGGGAGCACAAAAAGAAACTAATTTTCCTCTCCGCGATTGCACCAAAACCCAAGTCCTGAACTGAATTGAACGATTTATTGTCACTTGTATTTAACAAATAAATAATGAAATTTGTAATATGTTGCCATGCTCTGGTGCCATTTTGAGTTACAGAAGGTATTAAGATATAACTAAAATACAACTATGAGCAGTTCTTTCTCCCATCTAGTGCTCTGCTTGACATAGTGTGGTAGGAGGGTCTCCACAACGGGCTCTGTGCCCACCGACACCCCAGCACCGCAATCCATTCCAGGAGCCCTGCTCCAGGCACTGCTGCAAGAAGTAAGCAGGGTTCCACCTTTAATTTATGCAGCAAAAAGCTCCAACCATGTGTGAGCTGTTTCCGATAAGGAAATTGAAAGTGAAAGAAAGACTCGATACAGATGTAAAGCAGTGAGCAGCAAATGAATGTTAATACATTCTTTTAGATCGTTTTTTTCACCATTACGTGGGACGATCAGCATGCATCAAGACATCAGTGAAGATGATATTGAGGTGCCTTTTCCAAATAATATTAGTAATGGCTGTCTGTTAGCGTTTGGTCTATTGCAAAGATAAGCTGTTCAGTGGTATGACATGAGCGGGTGATGAGTGCCCCTTACAATACCATAAAGTTAGGACAGGGCCAGGCTAGGAAGTACTTATTAACACCACGTGTGGTTTAAGACTTAGCACTCTTCCCCATAAAATATGTTGATGCCACGGGGTTGGATGGTGTATTAAAAAATTCTATATTTGAGTCTGAAAATGTTTTTGTTAGGAAAGGGGTTTGGAACCAAGGCAGAAGTTGGGATTTTTATCAGGATCCGCAATGATCTATTTGAGTTGTGGAACAGTTTTTTTTGGGGGGGGTGGGGGGGCGGGTTCTTCCTGTACCTATGTTCTCAAGACTGGTCACCTCCGACTAGATAGTGTTTTACTCCTTTGCAGAAGCGCAGAAACATAGCTAGATGAAGGAGATGGGAAGTAGGCAGAGAATAACAGATAAGCAAGACAGTGCGTGGTTTTTGACAACAGAAATGGCCTCATTTAAACCTCTCACACTTGTATCCTGTGGGGTGAATGTAATTTTAAAGCTCGATGACTGTCTATGTTATTGCAAAATAATTTTTAAAAATTGCTTTATTAATTGCTGCTAGGATCACCTCAGTGGTTAAAGGCACTTTTTGAGGTGGATCCCTGGCTCCGTGACTAATCTGTGCTGGCTTAGCTGGTCTCCGGTTGAAGTAGACGTGTCGATAAAGGGAGGGAGGGAGGGGCCAGGATTGGCAGATACGGCTCCCGATTTCAAAATGGTGGAGCGCAGTCAGAAACTGGGGCTATGCAGTGATGGCCGCTCACAGTGGAATATAACACTGATAACTCCAGGTGGCCAACTGGAGCAGAGACAAACTTGAAATTAAACAAAAAAAATACATTGGCAGGGAGGGGAAAGAAAGCAGTGCCTTTATATAGCACCCCTTTTTAAAGTTTTTCGCTTTATTCATTCGTGGGATGAGGGTGTTGCTGACTAGGCAGCATTTATTGCCCAGAGGGCAGTTAAGAGTCAACCACATTGCTGTGGGTCTGGAGTCACATGTAGGCCAGACCAGGTAAGGATGGCAGTTTCCTTCCCTAAAGGGCATTAATGAACCAGATGGGCTTTTTCCAACAATCGATAATGGATTCATGGTCATCCTTAGACTCTTAATTCCAGATATATATTGAATTCAAATTCCACCAACAGCCATGGCAAAATTCTAACCCAGGTGTCCAGAACAATATCTGGGTTAACAGTCCAGTGATAATACCACTAGGCCATTGCCTCCCCATTTTGACGTGTAGACACTGTTGCAGGAAATCTGACAGCCAATTTGCACACACAAGATCCCATCAACAACAAAGTGATAGCCAGATATTTCTCAGGGTGGTGTTTGAGGAGTGAATATTGGCTAAGTGAAAATCGTGTAGAGGTGGCGATGCAGTAAGGATTGTGGTGGAATACCCGGAGCAGGACCGCCACGTGGGCCCCTGGAATACCGGGCTGGAAGCATCTGATGATGGAGACCTTCACGACCGAACAAGACTGCCTCACCAGGGCACCGCCACACTGTGCCGAGACCGCCACTTCTCCTCCATCAGGCACCCGGGCCTAGCCCACAGACATGGAGCCTCGTGCTAGCCTACGGGTCCAAGCCGGGTGGGGTCAGCCTCGCTCAAGGGAGACCCCGGGCCTGGGGTGCAACCATGTCTGACTCGTCCTTGCGTCATCGCTGCTGCCACCGGAGGCCTCCTCTTTCACTCGCCTCTTTCCAGGCTTAAAAGAGAACAAAGAGAAAAAGAAATAAAAACAAGAGAAAAAGTAAGAAGAAGCAGAAGAAAAAGAGAAAACCGACAGGATTGAACAAGCCCTGGACTCAATTCAGAACTCTGTAATGATTGAGGCCGATGTTGTGGAAGTTCCCATAGTTTTAATGTTAACCACAGTATGAACCACAGAATTCAATCCAAACTGTTAAGCTGCCCTTACAGCTGAGATTATCCAAGGAATGCTGACCTCAGCAATATCTAAATATTTACAGTCAGTGAACAGTGTCTTCACACGACTCCGTTCCATTGAACGGTTCACAGGCTAGTCCTCTCTGTGTGGATTTGTCCGACACAGCTGTGGCTGTAGGTTGTGGCTCCATCTGAAGAACATCCTCATCTCCTCATAGCACAATGATACAGCTCTCACAAGATGAGAAACAGGGCAGCTCCTCAGTAATGTGATCATCCAGCAGTTATAGCCACACAAATAAAATTCACTCAGCATCGTCCAAACTCGGGGACACTGACAGGGAGCCCAGTGGGATTTCCTCTACACGGATGTTGCAAATCCTAGCCCTGGCTCAACAACTGCTGCTCCAACCTTTTGGCTCACAAACAGTGGTGCATTGTACAGTATGGCAGCAATAATGTGGACCTCTTTCCCCCCAGTCCCACACTGCACTGAACACAGGGCAGGCAGTGTTACAGCCTGGGTAATGGAGTGGAATGGAGTTTCAGGGTCCAAGCTTGGAAATGAGCAACTCCTGTCTCTCGTGCAGGCTGTGGGAACTCGGAAGGTGTTTGCTACTTTGGGAATGTGGGAATACTTTGGGAATTACCATAAAAACCAGTGCTTCTGCCTCCCAGCTATTGGTTTAATCGTTCCATTGAGCAAGTGGTTTAGCAGGGGCCAGGATTTTTAGTTGACACATTAGGCCAATGTGTAAGGTGCAGATGCAGTATTTTCTGATGGCAAATGTCTTCCTCCTGTACTGTGTGGCTGTCTGTTTCAGCGTGATTGCTCTTTGAAGGGGACCATGTAACACAGCAGTGGAGCACCCCACTCCCCCCGAGAGAATGAAACACTAACTCTGCCCACTCTGCATGTGGTGGCAGCTATTTTCATTGGTGAGCCGGCTGAGGATGGAAAGCAGCAAGGTCACACTTCATAGCATGATGCCTGGGCTTTGTGTCTGCATTAAACAGCAAGGCAGGACAGTAAGGCTGTGAGCCTGTATGGCCTGAACAAGGCAGCACAGTGCAAAAAGGCAAGGCAAGGCAGAGAAGCTTCGAGGCACAAAGTGAGTGACTGCTAAGTGATCAAGCAAGGCTGGACCCTGAGCTGGGTGTCTGTCCCTGCTTACAAAGTGCCCTGGCAGTGGAATTACAATGAAAGGGACTGGCGTATTCCAAAGTGCAGCATGGAAGGTGAGTACTGTACTGCAAGAGCTGAGTGAGGATGGGCAAGGCTGGTACATGTCCAATGCCAACTTCCGTGGAGAGGGGGGGTTGCAGGTGGCCCTGAGATGTTGGTGACTGATCTCCTAGATGGAGCACCAGAGGAACAGCAGTGAGACGGAGTTGCCAAGTGCCCATTCTGAGTTTCCTGCCCAGAACATTACTAGCTTCTGTCGGACAAGTGGGAGAATGGTAAACTGCACATCAATGAAGTATAAATGGATGCAAATATGTTTCTCGTCGACATCGAGAACTCATTTCTTCCAATCGCTCCATGCTTTCCCGTCTGACCTTCTGTTGCCCACGTCATTCAGGGGCTGAGAAGATTCTATCCCCTGTGTCTGGAAATGCCTCAAGAGGTCACTCCTCTTGTGTCAGCTGCAAAGTGTAGTCCTGGCTTAGTAGTGGTCTCCTGGCCGAGGGGATGGGCACTTACCCAAGGCTGTCTCTTCACTGTTGAGAAAAACACGGTCTTTCCGATGAGAAGATAAACCAAGTCTCATCGAGGTAATGCAACAGAAACCATTGCGCTTTCTGAGGATTTATGGGGAATGGGAAAGAGGTCTGTGACAGATGCTGACAGACCTGCGAGCTTTTCCAGCAACTTTGCTTTTCTTCCTGATTTACAGCATCTGCAGTTCTTTTGGTTTTTATTAAGATAATCAGAAGATTTATCTCATGGCTCTTTAGATTGTGCAAAAATTTGTTTTATTTTTGCACATTCTTATGAACTTCCAAAGTGATTTTGTTTTGTCTGTGATAAGCCTTGGTAGATCTATGAAGTATACTATATCAATGCACCTTTGTTCATTCTTTGATCTGTGTTTACCTCAATATCAAAGGAAAGTATCAGAATGCAATCATTGTGTATGCTCTCTCCTCTCTCTCTCTCTCTCCAATAGTCCTACCTCTCCTATCTCTGCAGCTTTCGTAGGAAATCAAGAATGACAAAGTTAATGGTTAATCCCTTAACTTCAACTGAATCTTATTTCGCTGTATGTTCAGTGGTCATTCCTGCATCTCCCCAGCCTGATCCTTGTGGGTTTTCTGAAAGTACTTTTTAATCTTATAATTTATTCCCCGCTTTTTTTGGAGCTTTTTTTTCACTTTGCCAGACCATTTGCTGAGGCAGTAGCCTCCCCCTCGCAAAAGGATTCAGAAAAGTTTACAAAACTCAGTGAGCTGATGACCTGTGAGCGTCAGCAACTCATTGAACAAACAAAACTGTTTTCCCTTACAAAGAAAACATGAGGATGTCACACTGACAATCCTCAACAAGGTCATTTGTTTATTTTCCTTCATGAGGGCTGAGACCTGTTGGAATCTCCATATATAACCCACAGGATGAGGGGTCCCATTCATGTTGCAACACTGACCAAGCTTTCAAAGTACCTCATAGGCTGTAAAGCACTTTGTGATATTCTGAGGTTGTAAAAGGCGTTATACAAATGCAAGCCTTTCTCTCTGACCCAGTGTGAGTCCAGCAGTAATTACCACTGGTAAGTGAATAAGCCAGCACTAAATGAATTCACTTTTCCTATAATATGGCACATATATTACATTTTGGCCATTTAGCCCTTTTTGCCCCTCCATAAGTTAGAAGTCACATGACACCTGGTCATAACCCAAGAGGTTTATTTGAAATGACAAGCTTTTGGAGCATAGTCCCTTTCAAATAAACCTGTTGGACTATAACCTGATGTCATGTGACTTCTAACTTTGTCTACCCCAGTCCAACACCGGCACCTCCATGTTATAGCCCTCAATAAGGTCCTGGCTGATCTGATCGTGGCCTCAACTCCACATTTCCACCTGCCCAGATATCCTTTGAATCTCTTGTTAGACAAGAACCAATCTAAGTCATTCAGCATGGAAACAAGCCCTTCAGCCCAACTCATCCATGCCAACCAAGTTTCCAAAACTGAACCCGTCCCATTGCTTGTGTTTGGCCCATATCCCTGTAACCTTTTCCTATCAAGTACCTGTCCAAATGTCTTTTAAATGTTGTAATTGTACCAGCCTCCATCACTTCCCCTGGCAGCTCATTCCAAACACACACCACCCTTTGCATGAAAAGGTTGCCATTCAGGTCCCTTTTAAATCTTTCCCCTGTCATTTTAAATCAATGTCATAAGAACATAAGAACTAGGAGCAGGAGTAGGCCATCTGGCCCCTCAAGCCTGCCCCGCCATTTAATAAGATCATGGCTGATCTTTTTGAGACTCAGCTCCACTTACCCGCCCGCTCACCATAACCCTTAATTCCTTTACTGCTCACAAATTTATCTAGCCTTGTCTTAAACACATTCAGCGAGGTAGCTTCAACCGCTTCACTGGGCAGGGAATTCCACAGATTCACAACCCTTTGGGTGAAGAAGTTCCTCCTGACCTCAGTCCTACATCTGCTTCCCTTTATATTGAGGCGATGCCCTCTAGTCCTAGTTTCACCTGCTAGCGGAAACAACCTCCCTGCCTCCACCTTATCTATTCCCTTCATAATCTTATATGTTTCTGTAAGATCTCCCCTCATTCTTCTGAATTCCAATGAGTACAATCCCAGCCTACTCAGTCTCTCCTCATAATCTAATCCTCTCAACTCTGGAATTAACCGAGTGAATCTCCTCTGCACCCCCTCCAGTGCTAGTATATCTCTTCTCAAGTAAGGAGACCAAAACTGCACACAGTACTCCAGGTGTGGCCTCACCAGGACCTTATACAGCTGCAGCATAGCCTCCCTGTTTTTAAACTCCATCCTTCTAGCAATGACAGACAAAATTCCATTTGCCTTTTTAATTACCTGCTGCATCTGCAATCCTACTTTTAGCAATTCATGCACAAGGACAATGAAGTCCCTCTGCACAGCAGCGTGCTGCAACTTTTTACCATTTAAAACATAGTCCATTTTGCTGTTATTCCTATCAAAATGGATGACCTCACACTTATCAACATTGGACTCTATCTGCCAGACCTTTGCCCACAAAGTGAGGGAGGTCATCACCTCTGGGTGTCCTCTGGTTTTCGATTCCCTTACACTGGGGAAAAGACTTTGGCTGTTCACCTTATTGCATGATTTTGTAAGCCTCCATAAGGTCACCCCTCAGCATCTGACACTCCAGGGAAAATAGCCCCAGCCTATTCAGCTTCTCCCTATAGCTCCATCTTTGATGTGAATACCTCCCTTACAACACTGTGCCACATTAATGACTCTATCACAACATTAAGAATATTCAATCACCCCGCCCCAATTGCTCTCCGGAGAAGAGACTCACTCCCCTCCTTCTTTATAAACTGTTCCCCTAGCTTTAGTCGCCCTCACAAGATCCATTCAGCATCATTCCTTCTCACCATCTTATACGCTTCAATAGGTCACCTCTCTCACTCTTCTAAACTTCAATGGATATAGTTCCAACCTGTTCAACCTTTCCTCATTAAATGAACCCCCTCATCCCAGGTATCAGTCGGGTAAGCCTTCTCTGAATTGCCTCTAATGCACTTACATCCTTTCTTAATTAAGGAGACCGAAGCTGTCCACAGTACTCCAGATATGGTCTCACTAACACTCTATACAGCTGCAATTAAACTTCTCTCTTTTTATATTTCATTTCCCTTGCTTTCCTAATTACTTGCCGTACCTGCAGATTAAATCTTTGTGCATGTACCAGGACACTCAGGTCCCTCTGCAACCTTTTTCTCCCTTTGAATAGCGTGCTGCTATTCCATTCTCCCTGTAAAATTGGGCACGCTCACTAATTATAGGCTATTTGCCAAATTTTTGATCAGTCATTTAGCCCATCTTCCATCCCTTTACAGGCTCCTTATGTCCTCCTCGCAATTTACATTCCTACCTATCTTTGTGTATCAACTTTGAGATAAGTTGTAAATGGTTGAGACCGTAGCCCACTGATCCCTGTGACACTTCACTCACCACATCTTGCCAACCTAAGATCACCACAGCCCTCTGTGACAATGAGTTCCACAGATTCACCACCCTCTGGCTGAAGAAATCTCTCCTCATCTCAGTTCTAAACAGTCATCCCTTCACTCTGCAGCTGTGTCCTTGGGTCTCTCCTGCTAGTGTAAACATCTTCTCCATGTTCACTGTATCCAGGCCTCTCAGTATTCTGTAAGTTTCAATCAGATCCCCCCCTCATCCTTTTAAACTCCATTGAGTACAGACCCAGAGTCCTCAACCACTTCTCACATGACAAGCCCTTCATTCCTGAGATCATTCTTATAAACCTACTGTGGACCTTCTCCAAATCCAGACATCCTTCCTTAGATATGGGGTCCAAAACTACTCACCATATTCCAAATGCAGTTTGACCAGAGCTTTATACAGCCTCAGCAGTACATCTCTGCTCTCGTGTTCTACCCTTCTTGAAATTAATGTTAACTTTAAGGTTGCATTTGCCTTCCTAACTACCAACTGAACCTGCATGTTAACTTTAAATGGATCCTGAGCTAGGACTCCCAAGTCCCTTTGTGATTCAGATTTCTGAAGCCTTTCCCTGTTTAGATAATAGTCTACATCTCTATTCTTCCTACCAAAGTGCATAACCTCACACTTTCCCACGTTGTACTCCATCTGTCACTTCTTTGCCCACACTGCTAGCCTGTCCAAGTCCTTCTGTGGCCTCCCCACTTTCTCAACATTAACTATCCCTCCAGCTGTCTTTGTGTCATCTGCAAACTTAACAACAGTGCCCTCAGTACCTTTGTCCAAATCATTAAGGTATAACATGAATAGTTGTGGTCCCAACACTGACCCCTACAGAACTCCACTAGTCACTGGCTGCCATTCTGAAAATTTATCCCCACTCTCTGCCTTCTGCCAATCAGCCAATCCTCAATCCATGCCAGTACCTTGCCTCTAACACCATGGGATCTTATTTGGTAGCCTCCTGTGTGGCACCTTGTCAAAGACTTTCTGTAAATCCAAATAGATCACATCTATTGGCTCTCCTTTGTCTAACTTGCTCATAATTTCCTTATAGAATTCTAACTGATTTGTCAGGCATGACTTCCCCTTGACAGCGTGCTGGCTCAGCACTATTTTACCATGCACTTCCAAGAAATTTGCTATCTCCTCCATAATGATGAATTCTAAAATCTTACCAACCACTGAGGTCAGGCTAACCAGCCTAAGGTTTCCTGTCTTCTGCCTCCCTCCGTTCTTAAACAGGGCTGTTACATCAGCCAGTTTCCAGTCCCCTGGGACCCTCTCTGACTCCAGTGATTCCCGAAAGATCACTCCCAATGTCTCCACAATCGCCTCAGCTATCTCCTTCAGAACTCTGGGGCGTAGTCCATCTAGTCCAGGTGACTTATCCACCTTCAGACTTTTCAGCTTCCCCCAGAACCTTCTCCTTAGTGATGGCCACTTCATTCACCTCTGCTCCCTGACTCTTGCCCTCTCTTACCTTTTAGATATCGAAAAAAATTTTGCAATATTCTTTTATATTATTAGCTCACTTACTCTCATGTTTCAACTTTTCCGTCCTTACTGCTTTTTTTTTGTTACCCTCTGTTGTCTGTTAAAGACTTCCTAATCCTGTGGCTTCCCACTAATCTTCACCACATTATATCCTTTTTCTTCTGCTTTTACGTTGTCCCTGACTTTGCTTGTCAGCCATGGTTACCTTGTCTTCCTTTTAGTATGTTCCTTCTTCCTCGGGATGAATTTCTGCTGTGCCTCCTGAATTATCCCAGAAATTCCTGCCGTTGCTGCTCCACCATCTTCCCTGCTAGGCTTCCCTTCCTATCAACTCTGGCCAGCTCCCCCCTCATGTCTTTGTAATTACCTTTACTCAATTGTAATACCGTTACGTCTGATTCCAGCTTCTCTCTCTCATACTGCAGAGTGAATTCTATCTTATTTTGGTCTCTGCCCCTGAAGGGTTCTTTCATCTTAAGGTCCCAAATCCAGTCTGCCTGATTACACATCACCAAATCTGGAACTGCCTGTTGCCTAGTGGGCTCTACCACAAGCTGCTCCAAAAAAATCATTTCTGAAGAAGGGTCTAGGCCTGAAACGTCAGCCTTCCTGCTCCTATGATGCTGCTTGGCCTGCTGTGTTCATCCAGCTCTACACCTTGTTATCTCAGATTCTCCAGCATCTGCAGTTCCTGCTATCACCAAAAAAAATCTCGTTGACATTCCACAAATTCCTTTTCTTGAGATGCGCCACCTTCCTGATTTTCCCAGTCCACCTGCATATTGAAGACCCGCTGATTTATTGTAATAGTACGTCTCTTACTTTTCCATCTCCTGCTTTATTTTCTTCCCCACATCCTGACTACTGCTACAAAACTCCCATCAAGGTCTTTTTCCCTTTGCGATTCCTCAGCTCTACCCGCACAGATCCTAAGCCTTCTGACTCTATATCACTATATTTTGCATAACAAATTTTGAGTTGGCATTTTATCAAACGCCTTCTGCAAATCTATGTACAAAGTTTTCCCTTTATCTATATTGCTCATTACATCCTCAGTGATCTCAAATAAATTTATTAAACATTGAGTTAAGATAACTGTCCCATTGCGTTTTTTTCCAGTCTCTCTCCCTTTCTTGAGCAAGAGTCACATTCTCTACTTCCTACAGAGAATGCTGGAGGAACTCAGCAGGTCTGGCAACATCTGAGGGGAGAGAAACAGAGTTAACATTTCGAGTCCAGGATGGCCCTCCTTTGAAACTGAAATAACGTTTGTCGCACTGTCTGTTTCTGTTCTTTCACAACAGCTGGAGAAAAGTATCCGGAGGTTCAGGGAGATGTTTCATGCAAAAGTTGCTCCTGTGCCGAGAGCAAAGTCTCTGATGAGGAGGTACAACAATGACTACGACCTGGTGACTCAAAAAATCATGCAGCTGAAGGACCAGGATGATGGTATGTTTCCAACCCAAATACAAACATAGGAAACAGCTGCAGGAGTAGGCCAATCAGCCCATCAGCCTGGTCCACCATTCAATATGGTCATGGCTGATCATCCAACTCAGTCCCCTGTTCCCACTTTCTCCAACCCCCTTACCCTTTGATCCCTTCTTCCCTGACAATTATATCTAATCCCTTCTTGAAAAGTTTTAATGTTTTGGCCTCAACAGCTTTCTTTGGCAGAGATTTCCACAGGCTGACCAATTGCTGGGTGAAAAAATTTCTCCTTGCTTCAGTCTAAAGACAGCACGGTAGCTCAGTGATTAGCACTGCTGCCTCACAGCGCCAGGGACTTGGGTTCGATTCCACCCTCGGGTGACTGTCAGTGTGGAGTTTGCACGTTCTCCCCGTGTCTGCGTGGGTTTCCTCCAGGCTATGGGGCGCTGCCAAGCCTGAGGCCAATGCCTTCAGAAAAGAAGGAGGTTAACAGCAAAAAGTTAGTGGAGAGGAGAAGCACAAGGTTACTTTAATTCAAACACTGGCCTAACTTTCCCAATTCCTTGGTCGTCCACTATAAAGCAGGTTTTTTATTTTTCTTTTGCGGTTAAAAGTAAGTGGAATTAAAGAACATGGATCCCAAGCACTAGTTATCACCTGTGTATGAGTGGAGAATTTAGCTTCTACATTCCCATTATCCAAAGAACCTGCGTTTTTTTAAAAAATCTTTCTCTATGGGATGTAGGACACAGCAAAGAAAGGGTTGTTTGAGGCCTTATTCTTGGGCAGGAAGGTATAGCAATGCATGGGTGGTCTCCTGGGCAACATGGAAACCTAAGAAATGAGCCAGTTTTCCCAAATTTGGCTGATCCATAGGGCTGAGACAAGGAAAACATTCTTCACGCAAAGAGTAATGATCAGGGGGGCCAATCCGCTGAATATATTCAAGAAAGAGATGGATTTTTTTTAGGTTTTAAAGTTATCAAGGGGATGAAGTGGGAAGATGGCATTGAGGTAAAGAATCTACCATGATCATATTCAATGGTGTGAATGGGGAAGCAGGCTCGAAGAGCTGAAAGGCCTAATTTAGCTCCTACTTTTTTCTGATCCAGTTGAACAAAACCTGATCCTCTGAAACAAGCATAACTGCAATAGATTTCTTTCTTTCAGACCCAGAGGGTGAAGCTGAGAACCAGGTAGAGCGTGGTGCAATGGATGTGGTAAAGTTAATTCTCTTTGTGCCATCTTTTCTACTGCATTCAAAGGCTGTTTGTTCAACAAAAGCCTCAAAACAACAAACGATCATAGAATGATCAACCCCAGTTCCAGTTGTCCATCAATTGACACGCGGTAACTTTAAAAGTGAACGCCCCACCAAGCTGAGGTCCATGCGCACAGGAATAAAGCGAAGGATGGATACTCAGGGTTTTAGCTATTAGGGGAGGCAGATAATTCTCTCAAACAGTTGCCGATTTTGTTTCAATTTCCTTACATTTTGGCACTTCAGTTTGGGCCAGTTGTTTAAGACGATGGATGAGTTTGACGGGTTAGACACAGAGATGTTTCTGCTGTGGAGAGAGTCCGAGTCCAGTGACCATATACTAGAGGCTGACTTTTGGATCAACTATTAATTCAGGGCCACTCTTAGCCTGCAACAGATAACATGGGTTGCATAGGATTCAGAACAAAGAAACAGACCATTTGGCTCCACCAGACCATAACGGTGTTAAACCCAACCCAACATCCTTTTCAGACTAAATCTACCATTGTAACCCTCTATTAGCTTCTCTCTCAACTGCTTGACGAGCATCCGGTGGAGCACTTCAAAGAATTCTCCTGGCATCTCAGTCAATATTAATTCCCCAGCCGGTACCACTTCAGGGGAAAAAAGACAACTATCTGGTCATTTATCCTGTTGCTGTTTGTGGAATCTCGCTGCATGTACATTGGATGTCACCTCTCCCAATTGCGTTATTGGACACATCTCGAAAGGATCCTCATTGTCCGAGACACCCTAATGATCTGAGACGATCCTGACAACGGGGCCGTGTCAGCCTGGCTCAGTTAGTAGCAATCTGACCCTGTGGGTCAGAAGGTAACAACCAAGCTGGTGAAAGCTGAAGCTGACACAAGTACTGAGGCTGTGCTGCACTCGACAGGAAACCATCTTTCAGCTGAGCTACTGAAGCCAGGCCCCTTCTGCCCTATTCCGGGTGCGCATAAATGTACCTGTGGTCCCTGTTATCTGAAGAAGAGCCAGGTGAGTTCTCCCTGGTGCCCTGGCCAATCTTTATCTCCCAAGCAACCGATTGCCCTCCCATGATACGTTATGGTCTGTCGAATAGTAAACTGGATTAGATACCAAAGTTACAACAAAGTCTAAACTTCAAAATTACCTTCTTGGGTGTAAGGAACTTTAAGGCATGATAGATACTATAGAACCTCAGAGTTTATATTTGAAATGCAGTGCAAGAAGGACCTGTCTGACAAGACTGTATTTATTTTTTCACAGAATGAAGACAATGTTGACCAAGACCTCCAGGTACATAATTCACTGGGGCAAGGGAGGGTGGGGCGGGGAACGTACTCAGGTTTGGTTCAAGTGGCATACAGCGTAAAGTAAAATTAATCGTAACTTATTATTCCTGCTAACTGAGTTTACGACGCTGGGAGGAAGGAAAGTATTTTTTGATTTTTCCACAGGCGGCATGGTGGCTCAGTGGTTAGTGCTGGGACCCATGTTTGATTTGGCCCTCGGGGGACTGTCTGTGTGGAGTTTGCACATTCTCCCCGCGTCTGTGTGGGTTTCCTCCAGGTGCTCCAGTTTCATCCCACAGTCCCAAGGTGTACAGGCTAGATGGGTTGGCCATGCTAAATTGCCTCATAGTGTGCAGTTTACGGTAAATGTAGGGTTACGGGACTAGGGTGGGATGCTCTCGATGGGCTGAATAGCCTCTTTCTGCACAGTAGGGTTCCTGTGATTATGGGCCAGCTTTTATTGCCCATTTCTGATTGGCTTTGAGAAGGTGGGGCAGAGCATCCTCCTTGCTGCAGTCCATGTGCTGTGGGTTGACCCACAATGCCATTAGGGAGGGAATTCCAGGATTTTGCCTTAGCAACAGTGAAGGATCGGCAATATATTTCCAAGTCAGGATGGCGAGTGGCTCAGAGGAGAGCTTGCATGTGATATGTTCCCCCGTACCTGCTGCCCTTGTCCTTCTAGATGGAAGTGGTCGTGAGTTTGGAAGGTGCCATCAGTGGAAATTTTGTGAGTTGCTGCAGTGCATCTTGTGGATGGTGCACATTGCTACTCCTGAGTTTCGACGGGGGAGGGAGTGGATGTTGGCGGTCATGCAGGAGGTGCCAAACAAGTGGGGCTGCTTTGACCTGGATGGTACTAAGCTTCTTGTGTGGTTTTGTTTTATCTCTTGTGTGTTCCTCCACAAAGGTCCTGGAGATTGACTTTCAGCTCTTGGTGATTCCAACACAGTCTTGGAAATTTAGCAACCGTAGCCATTCAGGGGAGCATCCAAGATTCCCAACCCAGAGATCTGAGCCAATTCAATCAGCTTCCCTCTGTTATCAACCAGATGCAATGCTATTCTGCGATGGACCTCCATCTGTTAGGTTCTTTGTGGGTGGGGTGGGTTACACACCATCTCGTTTACTGAGGATTAAATGCTCCTGTGGTGAGTCCTTTTCCTTATTTCTGAATTGTGATCATGTTTCTGCTCTGCTTTCAACCAGGACGTTGCGGATCGGTTAAGGGTCCTTCCGTTAACAGAGGATAATGTGCGAATGTTCAACATGGCAAGGAGAACTGAGATTCCCTATAGTCAAAGACAATTCTCGTGCATACAGTGCGTTAGAGATTGGTGGAGGGAGGTACCAGAGAGGAAACAGGTAAGCTTATTTTTAATATCTCCTGCAAATAATTGTCTAGTTTTATTTACTATGAAACTCAAAATGTTGATCAAGTGGGGAGGTTTGAGGGGAAGGGGGTAGGGAGGAGGCTTGTAGGGAGCTGAATGGTATGTCTCTGTGCTGTACATTCTTATTAATTAGACATTTCAGAAGAGTTTCTACCTTCCAGCGTTGTATTTATTTCGTTTTTAAATTAGCTGAATTGAGAACTGGGTTAGCAGCAATAATAAATCCAGTCTCCCACAGGTCTCGAGATGTCGTTACTGTAAAAGAAGATATGATGCGGTGCCGAAGGATCAGGAGTGGGGTCTTGCTGCGTACACTTGCCAAAACTGCAGTCATTCTTTCAGGTTGGGTCTAACCACCGTGTAATCCAGTCTCATACATTCAAACTGTAGGAGATATTAGCGGATAGCTTTTGCTCATTTCCACCAGTCTGCAAACTTTGGAGCATTGCTTCTTGTGAAATAACTTGGGAAACAATGCAGGCAAACTATCACTTGTGTCATCCTGGCACCTTCCATGGTTTGGAAGGCTATTGGTCAGAATGCATTTCTGCATTGGGTGGAGCCAGCAGGTCTTGTTTGATGGGGCAGTAGCTGAGGTGGGGATTTCCCATGGTGTGCTTCACAGTTTTCATCTTCTAAAGACAGTCTCAAAGTTGTCAGTGTTAAAGAGGTCTCACCCCCACCCCTGTCCTTTACTGCTTGGATGGAGAAGGGAGGTTAGTCACAGGAGACTCCAAGCTGAGGTCTCTAATTTCCTGAGCTGACTACAATAGAAACCAGTCCTGCTGACCCCTGAGCCAATGGTCACTTTATCAGTTGTGAAAACCCCAGTGGATTTTAACTTAGTCGCTAGATACCATGTTCTAGTCTCAACTTGGAGAGGCATTGAGCTAGTACCGAGTGAGTTAACCTTTCCTTGCCTTTGCTATTTAGGACCTGGGTTCCCCTACTTTCTGTATATTTAACGAAGAGTCCTATTAAGTTCCTCCCTGCAGAGAATTAGCTTGAACCTTCTTGCATCCCTCTGAAGTGTCAGTGTTGGATCAGGAGTGTCTCTGAATCACAGGGCAATTGAGCCCCGATGTAGTGGAAACTGAGTTTCTGGAAAATATTAGGTGTGGTTTTCTACAGCAGTATGTTGAAGAACCAACTGAAGTATAGATTATTTTAGATCTTGTGTTTTTTTCCCCCTTTATCCATTCACGGGATGAGGACATCGCTGGCTAAGCCACGGTCTATTGCCTATCCCTAATTGCCCAGAGGGCAGTTTAAGAGTCAACCCCATTGCTGGAGTCACATGTCACAGGTCTGGATCTGATCTCATTATCCCATGGGCACCAGCTGAAAAAGGACCTCCAGGACAGGTAACACCCAGCAATGACAACCAGCCCCCTACACACCAGGTCTTGTTATCACATAGCCTGCCATTACACTTTCATTTATTCATTCACGGGATAAGGGCGTTGCTGGCTAGGCAACCTTTATTGCCCATCCCTAATTGCCCAGAGGGCAGTTAAGAGTCAACCACGTTGCTGTGGGTCTGGAGTCACATTTAGGCCAGACCAGGTAAGGATGGTATTTTCCTTCCCTAAAGAGCATCAGTGAACCAGATGGGTTTTTCCAACAATCAACAATGGATTCATGGTCATCATTAGTTTGTTAATTCCAGATATTTATCAAATTCAAATTCCACCACCTGCTGTGGCAGGATTTGAACCCAGGTCCACAGAATGGCTTCTGGATTAACAGCGCAGCGATAATACAACTAGGCCATCGCCTCCCTTGTTATGTAACAAGGAAAGGATAATTAATAATCTTGTTGTGAAGGAATCTTTATGAAAGTGAAATAATTCAATCCGAAGCCAGGGTGTTAAATTTGAACGAAAGAAATAACGAAAGAATGAGGGGCAAATTGGCTGAAGTGGATTGGGAAAAAAAAACATTAAAAGATATGATGGTCCATAGGCAATAATTTTTAAAGAATTATTGAATGGTTTACAGCAACTGTACATTCCTTCAAAGTGTAAAAAAACCCAAAAATGTTAGTCAACCTTGGCAAACAATGGAAGTGAATGAATGTAGAAGATTTAAAGCAAAGGTCTATAAAGTTGCCAGAAATAGTAGCAAACCTGAGGAGTGGGAGGATTTTCGATTACAGCAAAGAAGACCAAGACACTGATGAAGAAAGGGAGAATAGAATATAAATGAAAACCATAAAACAAAAACATACAAGCAAACCTCTACAGGTATGTAAAAAGGAAACATTTAGTTAAAACAAATAGGGTTCCATTGAAGGCAAAGTCAAGAGAATTTATAATGGGGAATAGAGAAACTAAGTGATTACATTCTGTTTATCTTCAGTGTAGAAAGTATAAGAAATCTCTCAGAATTAGAGGTCCAAAGGATTGGGGAAAATGAGGATTGAAAGGAATTTGGTACTCGTAAAAAGGTTGTGTTTGATAAATTCCTGGGATTGAAGGTTGATAAGTCCCGAGCCCTGGGAGTTTGGTGAGAGGAGTCAGGTGATGAAGCCTCCAGGAATTTATCCAGAGTTGGCCAATGGTAACCCATGATCGTGTTGACTCTCTCCAACACTGGCAGGAGCTATGGACAGATGGGGGTTCCTGCGCCATGCTACAGATGCCGGAATATTGTCCTTCCCATCCAAATCATTCCACCCCAACGGAATCCATCCAGATTGGGAAACAGGAGTCAGAATCCACATGGCTGCTGTGCGGAGGACTGTTACAACCGGCAAGGTAACAAACTCTGTCTTATTTTAACAACCACTTTTTAAAATTTGGTCTTCCATGAGTTGTAGGTGTGACTGGCTGGGCCACTATATCTTGTGCGTCCCTAGTTGCCCTTCAGAAGGAGATGGTGAGCTGCCTTCTTGAAGTGCTGCAGTCCTTGGAGTGTAGGGAGGGCAACAGTGCCATTAGCGAGGGAATTCCAGGATTTGAATTGGTGACGAAGAAGAAGTGGTGATTATTTCCAAGTCGGAATGGCAAGTGGTTTGGAAAGAAATTTGTGGAAGGTGTCTTCTTCCCTTCACTGTCTGGTGGTAAATGTTGCAGGTTTAGAAGCTGTCGTCAAGGTGAGCTGTGATGAGTTGTTGCAGTGCATCTTGTAGATAGTATACACTGCCTCTACTGAGCATCGGTGGTGGGGTTGGGGGGGTTTTGTGGGAGCGGTGCCAATGAAGCCGGCTGGATGGTGTCACGCTTCTTGAGTGTTGCTGGAGCTGCCCCCATCCAGGCAAGTGGGGAGTATTCCAACACGCTGTGCCTTGTAGATGGTGGACAGGATCTAGGGAGACAGGAGGTGAGTCACTTTCCATGGAATCCCCAGCCTCTGACCATGCTCTTATGGACACAGTATCTATACAGCTGGTCCGATTCCGTTTCTGGTCAATGGTAACACCCAGAATTTTGAGGGTGGGGGGGCTTCAGCGATTGTAACGCAAACAAAGGTCGGTGGTCACATTCTCTCTTGTTGAACATTGTGTGGCACAGATGTTACTTGCTGGCAAGTTTCTTCAGCTTCAGTGTGATTCTGTGTGCTTTGTTTCAAATGGCTTGAAAACTATTTGCCCATCAGTGCTTTTCATGTTTGTTCTCAATCCAACAACCTGCATTCATATAGCACCTTTAATGTGGTAGTTCACAGGAACATTACCTGATAATAGTTGACACTGAGCTGCAGTATTCTGATAGTGACTGCATCTGACAAATTTATTGGATATTTTACAGAGGTAAGATAATGGTGGCATTTGTATAGTAAAGGTCTGTTCTGCAATCAGTCACAGTGTTTTATTTTTCTGTTTTCTCCATACTGACTGGAAAAGGTCCAGTTTTCCTCTCAAAACTCCAAAGGTAGACCTTGAGTTGCAGTTAAGCTTGTATAGCCAGGGATTGCAGTCTCCCCAAAGCCTGCCCATTATCTACAAGGCAAAGTCAGGAGTGTGATGGAATACTCCTCACTTGCCTGGATGGGGGCAGCTCCAACAACACACAAGAAGCTAGACACTGTCTAGGACAAAGCAGCAAACTTGATCGGCACCTCACCTTAAAAGTTCAATTTCTCCATCACTGGTGCACCGTGACAACTTATGTGTCACCCACAGGATGCACTATTGAGATTGCTAAGCCTCCTTCAATAGCATTTTTTTATATTTGCAACTGCTAGAAGGTCAAGGGGTGGAGATACATGGGAAGACCACTGTCTGGAAGTTTCTGTTCGGGCCACTCACTATCGCAATTTTGGAATTAAATTTGTCATTCTTTCTGCTGGCGGGTCAAAATCCTATAGATTCCTTCCCAACAGCACTGGGGGTGTCCCTGCAACACACAGGACTGCAATGGTTTAAGAAGTTGGCTCACCACACCTTCCTAAGGGTAATTAGCCCTGACCTAACTAGCAACATCCTGAAATTTTTTTTTTAGCAATGTCTTGTACATATGAGCAAAACAGCAGTTTGGAAAGATCGAAGCTGCTCTGATTGTGACTTCAATCCACTTTCTTAGCCACACCAATGCCCTTGTTAGACAGGAATCTACTGACTTCTGCCTTAAGGTTATCCAATGACCCCGCCTCTTCTGCTGTTCCAAAGACCCTCAACCCTCAGAGAGAGGAAATTTCTCCTCACCTCCACCTTGTGATGTAGTTCTGATCCCTTCTCTCAAGGGAAGCATCCTTTCAGTATCCGCCCTATCAACTCCCCTTAAGGTCTTGGATACTTCAAAAAAGATCAACGCTCATTCATCTGAAGTCCAGTAAACACTGACCCAGTCTGTTCAGCCTTTCCTCACAAGATCACCCCCTCATCCCAAGAACCTGTCACACGGACTTTCTGTGAACTGCTTCTAAAGCAGTTGGGTCCATTCTTAAATAAGGAGTCCAGTACTGCACACCATTGCGAGATTTCCTCCATAAGAATTAATTTCTTGTCAAGATCATAGAATCATAGAATCCCTACAATGCGGAACCAGGCCATTCGGCCCATCGAGTCCACACTGGCCCTCCAAGGAGCATCCCAACCAGTCCCAGCCCTATTCCTGTAACCCTGCATTTCCCATGGCGAATCCACCTAGCCTGCACATCTTTGGACTGTGAGAAAGCCAGAGCAGCTGGTTGATAATTCAACTTTTAAAAAAATCACATTAAGATTCAACTATATACCTAATTATCTATCTTGACAGCACTTCCAATTCCCAAATGGCCATTCAGCTTCTCTCAAATTAAATATATCCTGTGGCAGCCAACACTGAGATGTCATTCCAGCTCTCAAAATGTCAAGGCCTCATTGCCCAAGGAAACAAAACGATTGAGACCTCCCCTCCTCTCCAATGCTAGTTTTAAAAGGTGGCTTTGAGTTAATATTCCATAATAACAAAGAATTCCCTTGCCTCTTGTAGAACCCTATGTTCCTGGTACACACTGTGTTCATCCTAGGACACGGCAAGTACGCGGTTTACCCAGAGTGCTGTATTCCAGCCAGAACCATGAGTCTACAGGCTCTACTGTGGCCAGCTGTATCAGCCAAGGCTCCTCAATGGAGTGCGACATTGAAGAAATCATACAGGAGGATCTGAGGGCAATCCCAGAGGAAGATGAAGATGAAGATGAAGATGAAGATGAAGATGAAGATGAAGATGAAGATGAATGAATTGCATGAGCTGCAACTCCTCCACAGGAGCCATCTTGTCCCTCGGAATCCATGATGAGGATGAGCCAAGAATGAATGCACAGTGGAATTGGGAGACATTCCCATTTTGAATGTTGGAACCCAGGCGGAGAAGACTGAGGCTCTGCAGGCCATTGTAAAGCTTGAATAGCCAGTAGAGTTTCGGTAATTTGTTCGTGAAAGCATTCTTGCTTTGAACTGTTTATCCTTTGCAGGAATCATTTCATTAAACAGTCTCCCAAATATTAGTTGCTTTCACGATTATTTTTTGTTTTTAAATGTTATGTCTAAAAGGAAAACATGCATTAAACATCATAGTGTAGGAAGATAAGGACTGACATGAAAACCTAAGAAACAGGAGCAGGAAGAGGCACACAACCCTTCCAACCTACTTTACCATTTAATAAGATCATGGCTGATCTGTATTGACTCCATCTTCCTGCTCTAACCTCTTTGTCCCTCCATTTCCTTAACTGCTTAAAAGTCTATGAATCTCAATCTTGAGTAAATTCAATAACTGAGTATTTACAATCCTTTAGCTTAGAGGATTCTGAAGATTCATAGTCCTTTGTTTGAAAGGATTCCTATCATAAAGGTTGACACAATATAGTGAAATGAGTGGTAAAGTTGAAGAAGTTCTGTACATATCTGTAAAGAATCTGAACTTCAGGCATGGGTTTTGCTTCCCAAGAGTTAATTCCTTCTCAAGAACTCAAAAGCAAAATTTCCCAAAGCATCACAATTAGATTGAAGCGAATATCTAATTATCGAACTTGACCAATTTCAGGAGACAGGGACCAGTTCTGCTTTTATATTCAGATTAGAGATTGGTTCACCTTCAAGTAGAGACACACAGCAAAGAAAAGGAGTAGAAATGTCTGATCTTCATTGTGTCGCTAATACTGATCCCGTCATCCTAATGGAGGAAGCCATGGACAACATTGTTGTGTCGCGAGATTGTTGACTTGCTCGCTGAGCTGGTTTGTTATCGTTCAGACGTTTTGTCACCATGCTAGGTGACATCATCAGTGGAACCTCCGATGAAGCGATGTTATTCTACTCTGCTTGGAATTTATACTGTCTGGTCCGTTACAGTGAGTTGTGTCATTTGCAGTTTTGATCTGTATGGGTTGTATATGGGGTCCAATTCTATATGTTTGTTGATTGCATTATGGGTTGAGAACCATGCCTTTAGGAATTTCCGTGTGTGTCTATGTTTGGCTTGGGCTACTATGGTTACCTTGTCCCAGTTAAATTGATGGCCTTCATTGTCTGAATGTACCGATATTAAGAAGAGTTTGTCGTGCCGTTTTGCTGCTAGCTGATGTTCGTGTATTCTGATGGCTAGTTTCCTTCCTGTCTGTCCGCTGTAATGTTTGTGGCAGTCGTTGCACGGTATTTTGTAAGGCCATCAGTTTAACTGGGACAAGGTAACCATAGTAGCCCAACCAAACATAGCCATGCACAGGAATTCCTAGAGGCATGGTTCTCCACCCGTAATGCAATCAACAAACATATCGAATTGGGCCCCATATACAAACCCATACAGATCAAAACCGGAAATGAGACTACAGTATAAATTCCAAGTGGAGTAGAACAACATCGCTTCATCGGAGGCTCCACTGATGATGTTACCTAGCATGCTGACGAAACGTCTGAACAAAAACAAGCCAGCTCAGTGACAAGTCAACAAACTCACCCACACTCGAGCTACAGATCTTTGCCAAAACTTTAAATTGTTGTGTAGCATATACCTACACAATAAACAGGTTTACAAAATCGGCTCACCACTACCTTCCTGAGGGTAACTGGTGATGGGCAATAGATGTCGACCTAGCCAGAGACATCCCACGAATTGGTAATAAAATCTAAGCTGGCCCCACAACCAGCTCGATTCCTATAGCTTAATGGGATATTATTTACAAAGCTCAATCAACCTTCAGGCTGGCTAGAGAAGATCCTGTCTTGTCAGTGTTAAACATTTACTTAGGAAGTTGTCCATTGGGAATTGTAGCAAGTTCTGGCTCTCCTATGAAAATAACGAAGATGTTTGAGAATAGACTTAAAGAAAATCCACCCTCCACTATTTTCTTCCCTTCTTTCATTCTCTCGTCCCTCTTTCCCCCTCTCTTAATCCTTTAGACCCCTTTCCCTCTATCCATTTCCATGGCCCCTACCCCTCTCACTTCTGTCTGTTTCCCCCATCCCTCTCTCTCTCTATACTTTTTCTTCCTCTGTCTCCTCACCAACACTTTCTTCTTCTCTGTCCCCTCTTTCTTCCTCCTATCTTGACCCCTTAGCCTCTCTTTCCAACTTCCCCTCCTCTCCCCTACTTTTCCTCCCTGTCTCCCCTTCAACCCCTCTGCTGTCTTGCCACTCTATTCTCTTTCTCCCTCCTCTTCCTGCCTTCCCACCTTAAACCCCCCTTCCCCCTCTCTCTTGTGTCTACCACTCTATCCACATCTCCCACTTTGCCCCTTTGTTTCCTCCCCCTCTCTCTTGTCCCTTCTCCCCATTCCCCCCTTCTCTTACCCCCCCATTCCTATTAAGCAGTACTGCCACTGGCCACAATGTGGTGCTACTGAGCACCCCAAGGAGCGAGCAGTTCATGCTCAACCTCAGCCAGAAAGGTAGAACTAGGTTTGAAGCTAATTAATAACAAATATCTTTATTTTAAAAAAAAGCTGCCTTATAAAAAGAAAGAGGCATGTTGAGTTTCCTGCCTATTATCATTGTCCAGAGTGGATTTGAGCTAATCCACATTCTGCAGCACCTAATAAGTTTAAAAGCTACATTAGGCCTCAAAATGTGAAGTTACATGATTAATTTTTCATTTTTGCTTTTGTGCCTTTTTTTTGTGACCTGGTACCATTTTACAGTTTGTACCTTGGAAACCGAAGATTTCGTTCTGTTGCTTAATGACTCAGTCTCTAACTGGCAATAAAAACATTGATTGCCAACAATTTCTTTTTATATCTAAGCTTCAAAATCTCCCCTCCCCCTACCGCATCCCAAAACCAGTCCAGCTCGTCCCTGCCTCCCTAACCTGTTCTTCCTCCCACCTATCCCCTCCTCCCACCTCAAGCCGCACCTCCATCTCCTACCTACTAACCTCATCCCGCCCCCTTGACCTGTCCGTCCTCCCTGGACTGACCTATCCCCTTCCTAACTCCCCACCTACACTCACCTTTACTGGCTCCATCCCCGCCTCTTCGACCGGTCTATCTCCTCTCCACCTATCCTCTCCTCTATCCATCTTCTATCCGCCTCCCACTCTCTCCCTATTTATTTCAGAACCCCCTTCCCCTCCCCCTTTTCTGATGAAGGGTCTACGCCCGAAACGTCAGCCTTTCTGCTCCTATGATGCTGCTTGGCCTGCTGTGTTCATCCAGCCCTGCACCTTGTTGTCTCGGATTCTCCAGCATCTGCAGTTCCTACTATCTCTTTTTATATCTGTTTGTTTTGGGGTCATCCTTCATTGTTGTAAGAATGTGGGATCCATTATTCTGAGATAGTAGGAACTGCAGATGCTGGAGAATCTGAGATAACAAGGTGTAGAGCTGGATGAACACAGCAGGCCAAGCAGCATCAGAGGAGCAGGAAGGCTGACGTTTCGGGCCTAG